TTTTTTTTTTTTGAGAATGCCCTGGCATCATAGCTCACAGCATCCTCTTGGGCTCAAGCGATTCTCTTGCCTCAGCCTCCTGAGTAGCTGGGACTATAGGCACCTACCACAATGCCTGGCTAATGTTTTGGGGTTTTTTTCTTTGAGACAGGGTCTTGCTCTTGCTCAGGCTAGTCTCAAACTCCTGAGCTCAGATAATCCACCTGCCTCAGCTGAGCCACACACTGCACCTGGCCCCAACAATTGCCTCATCTACATAAGTGAACCTTCACCACAGCTTTTTGAGCATAGTAATATCCTGTTACACAGAGGGGAAACTAAAGCAGGGTGGTGAATCAGTCCCCTACGCAGATACCTGGGACCCAGGACGAAAGCCTTCCAGGCAGAGGGAACAGCCCATGTAAAGGCTCACCCCCCAAGCTTTGGGCCACACCATCAATGCAGGCCTAGAGGGTGCTCCTGCATACACAGCCCTTCTGGCTAGAAAACCACACCATGGACAATGGACACCCAAAGAACATCTGAGGGCCCCACACACTCACTCAACAGACCACCTTCTCCAGCTGGCAGGAATTAACATGCAGTGAAAATTTAACCACTTAAACTGATAAAACAAATCTGTACACCTATGCCCTTTCCTTTACATCTTCAACAGAAAAAGAATACCATGTAAAAAGAGCTGTTTCGTCCTGCTCTTAAAAACTCCCAAACTTTCTTTCACTGCTCTCTTCTTTCTTTTTAAAAGGCTTCCCATAGTGATCAGGAGGCTCCTCTTAGCAAATGCATGAAGCTCTTGTCCAGCACAGAAGCAGACACTTATGGTTACCTGCACCTGAGATGCGCTCTGCCCTCCCTCCTACTTAGTCCTCAGGTCTCTGATTAAATATGTCCCCCCAGAGTCTTTCATGCCTCTTCCAACACGTGTCACCATCTATAATTACATGCATTTATTTCTTTAATGTTTGTTCTTCCTCCCTGTGCTGACCCAAGGTCTCCACTGTAAGCTCCACAAAGATAAACCTTGCCTTTTATGAACCCGTTATTAACTAAGCAGTGTCTGGCACAGGCAGATACTCGAGAAGTTCAGGTGAAATGAATTAGAATGATTTGGAAGCCTGCACCAACAAAAATCTCGAATTACAAGCTGCACTTGCTTCTCAGAAATGGAATAAAAATTACCTTGATTATAAGTCACTTTTCTCAAAATGTCATCTTCAGTCTCCACAGAGGAAGGATATCACAATATATACTCTTTGATATTTATCATATTCTTTGTAACAATGAAAAAATGGGAATGAACTAAATACTCAAGGTTAAAAGCACCAGCTACATCCACTTACTGGAATATTCTGCAATTCAGGATATGAGGTAGCCTTGTGTTATAAGATGAAGCAAAACCCTGGCCAGAGGCAGTGGCTCACAACTATAATCCTAAGATTTTGAGAGGCTAAGGAAGGTTGACACCTTGAGCTCAGGAGTTCGAGACCTGCCTGACCAAGAACAAGACCCCGTTTCTCCTAAAAATAGAAAAATTAGCCAGGTGTAGTGGCACACACCCGTAGTCCCAGCTACTAGGGAGGCTGAAGCAAGAGAATCACTTAAGCCCAAGAGTAAGAGGTTGCTGTGAGCTGTGACGCCACAACACTTTACCCAGGGAGAGAATGAGACTCTATCTCAGTAAGGAAAAAAAAAAGATGAAGCAAAACCTAAATAGTATCAGGTACAGTATAATATGTGTGAAATGAAATGCCTGGCTCGGCGCCTATAGCTCAACCAGCTAAGGCACCAGCCACGTACACCTAAGGTGGCAGGTTCCAATCCCCAGCCCGGACCCGCCAAACAACAATGACGGCTGCAACCAAAAAATAGCCGGGCGTTGTGGCGGGC